TTGTCCCTGGTCAAAGTAGTCCCTGGTGAAGTGGTCTCTGGTCAAAAAAAGACTGGGAACCACTTTTTTTTTTGGTCAGCAGTTCTGCCAGCACAAGTGTTTAACCCATTACGCCACTGGGAGCTCCTGGGAACCACTGATATATCTAGAATGTACACATACACATACACATACTTATACATAGCTATATTTGATATTCTGTAGATGTATTTCAAAGGCATACTAGATATTTATATAGTAGACTTGAAAATCTAGACATACCAGGAATTTTATTAAGACATGAACTTGCCGCTATCATCCACTATTTCTAGTTTCTAAAACTAGTAAGAGATCTAAGAGTAGTTGGCTCACCCAATGCTGTCTTTTCATTTCATAAGGAGTGAGTAAAGTCTCCCCAGTCTCATTTACGGAACATCAGTCTGCTTCATTAATCACATTGCATTGAGCTGTCTCATTACAGCCTGACCAACATAGTCTTCCCTTGTTTCCCTTCCAATTTTGTTCAGTTTGGGGGGTATGATGACCCACAATAGGAAATATCCAAGCTATTTTTAAATGCAACAGGAGATATAATAACCTTTTGGCTTATTATATTGTATGTGCTTCTACTAAGATTATGATCCCCAGCAAAACACAATCACTGATGACCAACATTTCTGCCATAAAGCAGCATCCGAACAATAGAATGGCATAAAGCCACTGCTAACAAAACAGTTGACAACGACAGAGAGCAATATCAAAAAGCCTGGCCAAACAAAAGTATTTGAAATTGTCATCAAAGGGCACAAAAGAGAGGGTGCTAAACTAAACAAAGATTTCCAGGAACCTTATCCCTTAATTAGGAAATAATTACAGAAAAGGCTGCTTCCCAGGTAACCACCTACCTAACCTTCAAAACTGAGATCTGCAAGGCATGGTCTCTGCTAATAAGCAAGAACCCCCCTTAGGGTAAATATCAGAGAAGGATGCCCTTTAAATGATTTGCATATTCAATATGGGAGAGGGTAGTTCTTTAGGGTAAATAGATAATTCACAGCACTTTAATTTGCTTTACTGAAGTGCTGTATTCTTTCCAGTGTGATTTTCCTATTAGGTCATTTTGTCCAGCCCGGAGTTATGGCATCTAGACAAACATGAGCCTCACTTCCTCCCTTTTGTTTGAAATTAGCCATTGCTTGTTTCCCCCATTAAAAATAGTAGAGAATTACAGTAGTGAGAGACGTGTGGAATTATTGCAGTAAGAATAGCCTTGTAGCAGAAGGGAAGCCTATTTATCTTTTTGGCGCAACAAGAGTAATATAAGGAGGCAGAAAAGCGATGGCTTAATGTGGAAATATCTTGTTATCTCCTAAAAAACCCTATTCAGATGGCCAAGATTGATGGAGCCATAAAAAGCATAGAATCAACTGAAAGCAGTGTGGGCATGGGAAGACTTGATCTCAGCTGCTTTCTCACATCAAAGGAGAATCTGAAATTTAAGTGAATCATAGATTTTGAAGGGACCCCACAGCCATCCAGACCTACCCCCCCCCCCCTTTGGCCATGCAGGAACACATAATGATCAAGGCACTCCTGATGGCCACTCAGCCTCTGCTTAAAAACTTTCAGAGAAGGAGACCCACCATCCTCTGAGGCAGCATATGCCACTGCCAAACAGCTCTTATTGTCAGGAAGGTCTTCCTATTTATTTATTTATTTATTTTTGTGTCAGAAGCAACTTAAGAAACTGCAAGTCGCTTCTGGTGTGAGAGAATTGGCCGTGTGCAAGGATGTTGCCCAGAGTACGCCCAGATGATTGATGTTTTACCATCCTGTGGGAGGCTTCTCTCATGTCCCCACATGAGAAGCTAGAGCTTGACAAACGGGAGCTTACCCTGTTCCCTGGATTCGAACCACCCACCTGTCGGGTCGATCAGTCCTACCGGCACAAGGGTTTTAGCCCATTGTGCCACCGAGGGTTCTGATCTTCCTAATGTCTAGGTGGAACCAAACCCCAGTGGATACCAAGGGCCCTTGTACTCCTATTTATGCAGCCTAGAATCACACTGGCTTTTAAAACGGCTATCTCACACTGTTGACTCATGTTTAGCTTTTAATATGCAAAGCCCTCTACATCTCTTTTACGTGTACTGCTGTTAAGCCGCGGCCCATCTATTCTATTTTTGCCCAGTTCATATTTATTGCCTAAGTGCAGTACTGTACATAACCCCAGCTTGAAATTCATTTTGTTAATTTTGGCTCAGCTCTCTAATATGTTGAGATCATTTTGGATTCTGATCCATTCCTCTGGTGTATTACCTATCCCTCCCAATTTGCAGCATCATCTGCAAATACGGTCAACATGCCTTCTATTCCATTGTCCCAAGTCATTGATAAAGATGTTGAATAGCACTGGACCCAGCACAGACCCCTGTGCCCCCCCCCATTGGTCACTTCTCTTCTGGATGAGGAGGAGCCATTGGTCATCTATCATGATTTCTGTTTCTCTTTAGTATTCCTAATCATGGGAGTATACCTAGTGCTTTCCCAAGTTTACTGAAATCAGTTTTCTGAAAGACTAGGCTAGATCAAGAGCCTGGAGAACAAGCCCTATGAGGAGTGACTTAAAGAGCTGGGCATGTTTAGCCTGCAAAAAAGAAGGCTGAGAGGAGACATGATGAGGACCATTTATAAATATGTGAGGGGAAGTCATAGGAAGGAGGGAGTAGGTTTGTTTTCTCCTGCCCTGGAGATAGGATGCAGAACAATGGCTTCAGACTATAGGAATGGAGATCCCACCTGAACATTAGGAAGAACTTCCTGACTGTGAGAGCTGTACAATAATGGAACTCTCTGCTCTGGAGTGTGGTGGAGGCTCCTTCTTTGGAGGCTTTAAAGCAGGGGCTGGATGGCCATCTGTTGGGAGTGCTTTGAATGCAATGTTCCTGGTTCTTGGCAAGGGGTTGGCTTAGCTGGCCCACGAGGTCTCTTCCAACTCTATGATTCTATGTCTGTCTATGGTTACTCCTACCTAAGGACCATGTTACTTCCATCCCATTAGCCAGGTCACTGTTGTTCTTTAGGATCAGAAAAAATATGTGATTCCCTTGTTGCCACTTCCATTTTGGGACAATACAATTTTTTTGCAAGACAAGTGAGGTATTTGTTGAAGTGATATTTTTGGCAGAGTTTGTCTTGCAATAAATATCAGGATAGTTGCAATCTTCCAGTACTACTACATCTCTCCTTTCTGAATGTGTGATCATTTGTTCCAGGAAAGCATCATTTAGGTCCTCAGTCTGACTTGGAGGTCTGTAGTAGACCTCCACAATGACAACCCTGTTGTTTCTTTTCCCCTTAATGTTTGGCCAGATACTCTCAGCCTGACTTTTAGGATTTAAGTCATGGCACTCTTTGCAGGTGTAGACATCCTTGACATATAATGATACACATCCATTCCCCCCCCCCCTCTTTTTTTCTGTTTAGTCTGTTTCTATGAAACAGGTTATACCCCTCTATTCCTACACTCTAATCATGAGACTCATTCCATCAAGTTTCAGTGATGCCGATTGTATCATGCTTGCTTTGTTGTATTAAGAATTCAGGTTCATCTTAAGGTATTTCCCATGCTCTGTGCATTAATGTAAAAACATCAAAGACCATGAGACATTTCTCAGTAGCTGGTTAAGGCCTTTTCCTCCCACTGTTTGGGGGTCTAAGAACAAGAATTAAATAATTTAGTAAAGCAGGGATAGGAATTGCAAAGTTCCTAGATTATATGCAATCCATGGGAACTTTTGTTTGGCCCACGGTTCCCTAGACCTCCCTGACATCCAAAACAAACTGAACCTTGCTCTAGGAAGCATGACTCTGCATTCAAAAGCTGTTTTGAAGGAGAGCATAACAAAGAAAACACCAAAACAGTCAAAAATACTACCTAGAAGTGGGTGGTACATTTCTCTTTGTTAGATGAAAACAATGTGGTGAAGTAGCTATTGCTCATCTATGTATGAAAGGAAAGGGAGGCATTTGATATATTATGTTTATTAAGTGCAGAAAAGCACTTAAAATGACTTATAGGTGATGACTTGCAATCCGTACTGCCTTGATGTACTGTCTGAGGCTTCTGGGAACTGAAGCTGGAAAGCTTTAAAGAGCCAAGGGACAACCTTACGGTATAGCTGGCGATACCGTAAGGCCCCTAGACAGCATTGCCAATAGTCAGTAATAGTCCTTAACATTTGGAGATCTGCCTGATTCCCAATTTTGGATGTGGAAAGAGAAGAAAGAGCGGAGCTCTGCTTGCTATCAAACTGGTGCCACACACCAAAGCTTATTTGGAGAGCTTCTCCAGGTGACAAAGGAGAATTGCCAGTGGCAGGCTGGCCCCAGCTATCAAACAACTGTAGTTTGGAGAATGTATACAGTAAATCATATAGGACAGAAGAAAGTAAAAAGGAGGCAGAAAATGGTTCAAAACAGTGCTGGTTATGTCAGTGCAGCTCAGATGACACAGCACAGAGGCCTGAGCAGCATCCCATCAAACAAAACAAAAAAATGAGTGGTTTGACTGTCAGGTGGCTGATAAACATTTAGTAACCAAGTCAATGGCACAAGATATAAGAAGACCCCTATATGGGCTGTGCACCTCTGATTTCCAATACTCCCCCACTTCCCTTTATTAGAGTGATTTCCAGAAGGCGGAGGAGGAGGCAGCCCTCGCCTTTGTTGCCTGCACTGCATCACTTCTTGTTTACATTCCGGCCGGCTGGTGTGGATGGAGCCTGGACAGCAGCAGCAGCTCCCACCTGCTTAGGGGAGGCTGGAAAGTCCCTTGCCGGGCCTCCCTCCATCCCTCCTCCACCCCTGTTTGGAAGGACAAGGTTTATTCCCCAAGCGTGTGCCAGCCGCCCTTTGTGCTCTTCTGGAAGAGGAGGAGGGAGGCCACATCGCCTGCCTCACCAAGCCGAGTGCACCAGGAAAAGAAGGAAGAGGGGACATCCCAAATGAGACAGACTTACCAGGGCGAGGTTTCGGATCCTGGCTTCCCATAGCTAAGCCCAGCAGCATCCTGGACCTGGGATGGGGGCTAGATTGTCCTTCTCCCATTACCCATTCTACACATTAAGGATTGCGTGTCTTTCCTTTGGCCGGGCGGGGGAGCCAAATACTATTGATTGTTAGCCGGCTAGCTTCCCTCCCTCCATCCCTTTCTTTTAATTCATTGCTTTTCTGCTCTCCTTCTCCCCCCCCTCCCCCCCCAGCACTGCTGCCGCTTTTCCCCTTCTGGTTTGATTGTTGACCAACTCCAGAGGATCATTGTGAGCTGGTTGCCTGAAGACCAGGCCACCCTTATCTCCTTGCCTGCATCCTGCCACAAATGCATTTTCACTAAGCTACCCTCCCTGCATCTCTTTCTCCTCTGTCTCTCCAGCCTTGCTGGCTGTGGAATTTAACTCAGGAGCAACAGCAGTTAAACAACGATGGTGAGCAATCTATTCACGGATATACTATGTATATATATTTTGAAATATGGATATTTTTTAGCCTGTGGAGTTGGTAGATGGGTTATTTCCATTCAATCAATTTTGGATTGATTTTCCTAGAGGGTGACCAAAACAGCAGAAGTATGTGTTTACTGTGAGAAGGGTATTTTCTATGCCAGCCTGTTTTTAAATCTTACTGTTATTTCCTTTCTTCTTTTTCTTCTAGAGCTCAGGAAATGCTTCCTACAGATGCTCCATCTCATCGTCTGCGGATTTCTCCGATGATGATGAGGATTTTAGCCAGAAATCTGGTTCCTTGTCTCCCGCTCCGGGTGACACCCTGCCTTGGAATCTGCCTAAACATGAGCGGTCCAAGAGGAAGATTCAGGGAGGATCAGTGTTGGATCCAGCCGAGAGAGCTGTGCTCCGGATAGCTGGTAAGACCAGAGATGCATGGAAAGGATGGGTGAGGAAGGGCAGGTGGCTTGGAGAACGAAGTAACTGGACCCACGTGCCTGTATTATTGTGTACTTGTGCATTAGAAAGGAGTACCAATTGAGAGCCTGGTTGATTGCCTCTTGTACACTGTAATGTTGCAGTGTTTACTCAGACGGATGTCTCATAGAGTATATATATGGATCCTACTCCCAGAATTTGCAAGCTCATTGCTACTGGGGGGGGGGGGGGGGGGGGGGGAGAGAACCACACTCCTTCAGGCTCGATTTCTCTGTGTTGGTGACTAAGCTCTTTGGCCATGATTTCCGGCTCGGCAGATTAAAAGCTTTTGGCATTGGGAGGGGTTAGATTCAGCTGCAATATGATCATTAAACTTTCACAAGAGGGTCTTCTGAGAGAAATGATGGATGAGAATGAATTTGTCCATTTCCCAGGCACTCAAGTTGTGCATCTTAGGCTTAGTGAGGAAGTGCAAGGCACAGTGAATCAGAAACTGTCTGAGAAAGGATGCTGCTCTTTGCCTAGTTTACTGAGAAGTGGAGCCTTTGAGAGTAAAGTGGCTTATTTCCAAAGAAATGTGCATGGGACTGGGTTGTGTATGTCCATGCCATCCATGTTGAAGGGGTGTAGATTTGTTTAGAAGGACTGGAGTGTTGTGTGGCTCTTGATCTGCTTTCTCTGGCCAGCCTAGTTGTGTTAGACATTGTGTATTGTGTGTATATACTCTGGAAACCAGCGGAGGCCAAGCCGCTGGAGAGGCGCTGTCCCTTTCCGCTCCTCTCCCCTGAACAATATAGGGAAGAGGCCCTACTGAGTCTGCACAAAGTACGCCAGGAGAGCAGCTGCTGGTTTCTATTGGTTTTGAAATAGGTCAGGGCGTTTGCCTGGCCAACCCGGCTGCAAAATGAGAAGGCAGAGTAACTTGACCGTTGAGCGAAAAAACCTCAGGGTTATGTCTGACTTATTCGGGTTATGCACAGCATGCACCCGCCACTATTTCACACTTTGTAGCTAGCCACCAGCCCAGTTTTGTTTGTGAAAAACAGCAAGTGTTGTATGCACACACAAAAATCGGACTCAGAAAGGACTGGGGGTTGGAATAGATCCAGATTGTGTTGTTCTGTGCGGTTTTATTGCCAGGTTGGGGTGCGTACTGACTGAAAAAAGACACTTTGCTCATGTTCAAGAGCACATACATCCTTCTGTCTTTGCCTCTTCTAGGGATGGGCTTTGGAAACCAATTTTGGAACTTACTGTAGGTGAAAAGGAAACAAGAATGTTTTGTTGAGATAAAAAGGAAAAGGTTGAGAATTGAACAAAGTGTGTGGTTTTTAGCCACCTTGCGTCCCCTTGGGGAGAAAGGCAGGGTATAAATAAAAGTAAAAGGCAAAGGTTTCCTCCTGACATTAAGTCTAGAAGAGTCTGACTCTGGGGGGTGGTCCTCATCTCCATTTCTAAGCCAAAGAGCTACCATTGTCCATAGACACCTCCTAGGTCATTTGGCCAGCATGACTGCATGGAGCACCGTTACCTTCCCCCAGGAGCTGTACATATTGATTTACTCACATTTGCATGTTTTCGAACTGCTAGATTGGCAGAAGCTGGGTCTAACAGTGGGAGCTCACCCTACTCTCCAGATTTGAACTGCCAACCTTTTGGTCAGCAAGTTCAACAGCTCAGTGGTTTAACCTGCTGTGCCACCTACTTATTTACTGACTTAAATAAGTTAATAAATAATAGGTGCCATTTTTTTTTATTGTAAGATTCCCTCAATTGTAGGATGCACACTGATTTCAGTACCACCAACAGGGAGAAAGCTTTATTTATATACAGGCTTAGGGACATGGCAATGCCCGGGTTATTTGAAAAAGCCATTATCTGTGCTCCATGTTTAGTTTTGATCCAAAGTTGGCTGGGTTCAGTGGGTGTGGGTGAACTACAATTCCTATATATCAAGGTCAACCACCCCCTAAACCCCACCTGTATGCAGTTGGCCATGTTGGGTCCGTGTGCCAAGTTTGGTGCAGGTCCGTCATTGCTGGGTTTCAGAATGCTCTCTGAATGCAGGGTGAACTACAACTCCCACACGGTGGATCAATTCCCCAAGCCCCTCCATTTTGGTCCAGGTCCGTCATTGGTGGGTGTCGTAGTAGTCTCAGGGAGTGAAGGTACTGCAAAGCCCATTATCTTTAGTCTATCCTCCCCCGAAACAAACCAGGATGTAAAGTGGGTCATGAAGGGGATGTGTGCCAAGTTTGGTTCAGGGCCATCATTTGTGGGGGTCGTAGTGATCTCAGGAATTATGTGAAGGTACTGCAAAGCCCATCATCTATTGTCCATCCTCCTCCTAAAGGGTTATGGGACTGGCAGTGGGTGGGGTCATGCAAATTCCACAGGTTTTCTATAAGTGTTCAATTTTTCGTCCCTGCTCAGCTGTGCAGATTTGCAAACCTCACTAAAATATTCTCTTGTGATTTTGTGAGACTTCTCTACTATTGCAAGCTGGAAGGGGTATGCAATATTAAAGGGGGTAGTAAATAAAATACATTTGAAATCCAGGAATTATAAAAGTTAAGACAGCCAGGATAGTATTGTGTGGATGTTGGTTCAGATCCTTGCTTGGCCACATTGAGTGACCCTGAGCAAGTCACACTCTCTCAGCCTCTGCAGAAGGCGAAGGCTAACTTCTGAATAAATTATGCCAAGAAAACCCTGTGTTGGGTGTGCATTAAAGGTACACTGCAGAATGAAGGCAGTTTGACACTTTAACTACCATGGCAGGGAGCGCATGCGCGGGACTTGCGTCTGGCAATGAGGCCGGCGAAGAGAGAAGCAGCCAGAGCGGACGCATGCGCGGTACTTGCGTCTGGCAATGAGGCCGGCCAAGAGAGAAGCGGCTAGGGTGGGCGCATGCGCGGTACTTGAGTCTGGCAATGAGTCCGCCGAAGAGCGGCAGCTAGGGAGGGCGCATGCGCGGTACTTGGTGCTGTCAGAGACGGGCGAGAGACGAGTCAGGCAGGAAGGGCGCATGCGTGTCCGCGAGACCGGCGGCGACACCTGCAGGGCCAAGCGCTCCGCCTTTTGGCTGTTCGCCATTCTCGCCTGCTGTTGTCGTTGCTTTGTTGTTGTTGTTTGCTTTCAAGCCGTTTCTGATTTATGTCGAACTTATGACAGGGTTTTCTTGCCAAGCTTTCCTCCACGGGGCTTTGCCTTTGCTTTCCTCTGAGGCTGGCAAGAGTGTGCCTTGTCACTTAATGGGCTTTGATGGGTGGATGGAGATATATCACCCAGTTGTATTATAGTTAGGAGCAGTCCTTTACAAAGAAAGGATCTTGCCCTTTACTCTCATTGAGTATTATAGAATTAGAAGAGACCCTAAGGGCCAGCCAGTCAAAGCCAGGCAGGAACAACCAATCAAAGCACTCCCAACAGATGGCCATCCAGCCTCTGCTCACAAACCTCTAGAGAAGGAGGCTCTGTCACTCTCTGAGGCACTTTAGGGCCCTTCCACACAGCCACATAACCCAGAATATCAAGGCAGATAATCTGCAATACCTACATTGAACTGGATTGAGTCCACACTGTAATATAATCCAGTTCAATGTAGATTTTATACAACTGTGTGGAAAGGGCCCCAGTCCTCTGTTGAACAGCTTTTACTGTCAGGAAGTTCTCCCTAATGTTCAAGTGGAATCTCCTTTCCTGTAATTTGAACCTATTACTCTGAGTCTTAGAGCCCTTTCAGACAGGCCGCATATCCCAGTTTATCTAGCAGTGTGGGCTCATATAATCCAGTTTAAAGCTGAAAACCTGAGATCAGATCCTGGGATATGGGGCCTGTCTGGAAGGACCCTTAGATTCCATCTATACCGCCATATAAAATCTAGATTATCTGCTATATGAGTCTACACTGCCATATAATCAAGTTCAAATCATAATCTGGATTTTACTTGGCAGTGTAGATGGGGTCCTATTCTCCAGAGCAGCAGAAAACAAGCTTGCTCCCTCCTCAATGTGACATGCTTTCCAGTATTTAAACATGGCTATAATATCCCCTCCCAGACTTCTCTTCTCCAAAGAAAACATACCCAGCTCCCTCAGCTTCTCCTCATAGGTCTTGGCTTCCAAACCTCTGACCATTTTAGTTGCCCTTCTCTGGACACGCTCCAGCTTTTCCTGAATGGTGGCACCTAGAATTGGACACAGGCTTATCCCAGATTAAGTCTGGCTAAAGCAGAATAGATTGAGACTGTGACTTTCTACTAGACACAATATAGTCACCCCTCCCTATTTGCAGATTCTGCCTCCATGGATTCCACCATCAACAACTTAATTTTTTAAAAGAAAAATCCATAAAGCATGGACGGCAAAAAGATCAAAGCAGTCCATGCCCTGGCAGTGTGCTTGGGATCATGCTGAAAGACCCAGCCATGTTTCATCTTCAGTGCCCCTGCTGATGGAAGGAGGTTTGCACTCAAAATCTCATGATACATGGTCCCATTCATTCTTTCATGCATACGGATCAGTCGCCCTGGTCCCTTTGCAGAGAAACAGCCGCAAAGCATGTTGCTGCCACCCCCATGCTTCACAGTAGATATGGTGTGTTCTTTGGATTCAACTCAGCATTTTTTCTCCTCCAATCACAGCGAGTTGTGTTTCTGCCAGACAGTTCTACTTTGGTTTCATCAGACCACATGACATTCTCCCAATTTTCTTCTGAATTATCCAAATGCTCTCTAGCAAACTTCAGTCGGTCTTGGACATGTACTGGCTTAAGCAGGGGGACACGTCCGGCACTGCAGGATCTGAGTCCCTGGCAGCGTAGTGTGTTATTGATGGTAGCCTTTATTAAGTTGGTCCCAGTGCTCTGCACGTCATTCTCTAGGTTCCCCTGTGTGGTTCTAGGATTTTTGCTCACCATTCTTGTGATCATTTTGACCTCATGGGGTGAAATATTGTGTGGAGCCCCAGATCAAGGGAG